TGTAATCTGTCAGATTCAGCATATTGAGGAGCATTTTGAAAAGGGCGAGGATGCCGCCATCTCCACCATGACGGCCGCAGAAAGAGAAGCTCAGAAGAACAGAGAAGAACAAGAATTTCAACTGTTACGGGTGAAAATCTTTTTTTATTTATTCCTGTTCTCACTTTATGTGGATTAATTTCTCCTAAAGGCAGGAATAGTGTTGATGCAATAATAATGTGCAGGCACAGTACGGCATGGAGGAGTGCGAGGGCGAGGGCGAGGGCGAGGAGGCGTACTCGGCGCGGGCGGCGAGCAGCCTGCGCCGCGCGGTGTACAGCGGCGCGCTCTCTGTGGCCGGGTACTACGAGCGCAGCGTGGGCCTGCGCCGCGCCGCCGCCACCGGCCGCGACACCGGCTCCTCCAGGACCAACGGTCTCACACGGACCTCTTTATGTACCTTTCCATTTCTCTCTCGTACCTCACACCGGTATTGTGAACGTTTCAGGTATTCTGGAGAGGATAGCTCAGCTGAACGCGCAGAACCCCAGCATCGCGAAGACGTACCTGTGCAGCGCGGTGGACCACTACGCCAGCACGTACGGCGACCGCGGCTGGGGCTGCGGCTACAGGTGACGCGCCGCGCCCCCCATCATGTGCTCCTCCTCCTCTCCCCGACACTGGCGCGATACATGTTCTCCTCTCTGCGGCACAGGAACATGCAGATGCTGCTGTCGTCGCTGGCGCGGCAGGCGCAGTACGCGCGGCTGCTGGCGGGGGCGGGGGCGGGAGCCGGGGCCGGGGCGCGGGGCTGCGACTGCGCCCCCTCCATCCCGCGCCTGCAGCTGCTGGTGGAGCGCGCCTGGCAGCTCGGCTTCGACACGCAGGTACGCTGTCCGCGCCGCCTGCGACCGGGACGCCCCGGTGCCCCACACTGACGGATCGCTCCTCCGCAGGGCTCCGAGCAGCTGGGCTGCAAGCTGCACAACACGCGCAAGTGGATCGGCGCCTGCGAGGTGGTCACCGTGCTTTCCTCGCTCAGGATAAAGTAAGGTTCAGCAGCGGGGAGTGGGGAGCGGGGCGCGTCGTGCGACCGGAGTGACGGAGCGGGGTGTGTGTGCGCAGGTGCCAGCTGATAGACTTCCACAAGCCGACGGGCGCGGACGGCAGCCACCCCGCGCTCTTCGCCTGGGTGCTGCGCTACTTCAGCGAGGATCCGGACGCCTTCAAGCCGCCGCTCTACCTGCAGCACCAGGGTGCGTCGCCTCGCCTCCGCCGGACGAGGACCGGTGGAGCCCTGCTTCTCAGCGTTACAATGTGTCGTTTACGT